TGTCCTGGAACTCATTCTGTAGACCAGGCTGGCCTCGAACTCATAGAGATCCGCCTACATCTGCCCCCTGAGCACTGGTATTAAAGGTGTGCACCACCACTGCCCACCTTTCTGCTTCCTTTTTAAACTGAGAATGTAAGCTTGGCTTAATCTTTACATGTTGTTATACATTATTTCCTTTCAGCAATGTAAAGATAGCATCTATATTTACGCCTTCACATGCATGCACACACACAGCACACACACACACACACACACACACACACACACACACACGGACTGGGAAATGTGCATTTATATAGCACTTGCTGTGTGCCAGGTACTGTGTAGAGCTTTGTCCTCTTGAATTCCCCATGGATACAGGAAAAGAAGCATATACCCAGAGAGGCAAAGACGTCTACCCAGAGCCACACAGCCTAGGGCAGGGTCAAATGACCTCCCCCATGAAGTCACACCCCCATTTCTTCCCAGAAACCATGGAGACACAGGGTAAAAGGAGGCTGGGGACGATGAGCTGGTTTGTATACCTTGGTCCTGAAAAGAGTTGGCTTTCTTCCCAGAGTCTGAGACTCTACCCTGCCAAAGACCTAGCTTCAATCAGGCTCTTCTGGAATTCTCCCTAGGGCAGAAACCTGAGGCCAGGTGGGGTGGAAGCCCGTCTCCTCAGATGACCGTTACCATGGGCACAGCCACTCAAAGGGCTTAGCCATTGGGTATGATGCCAATCCTCCAGGCAGCTGGCCTGGCAGCCTGGGGTGTGGCCTAGCCACCGCTGGCTAGGGGCACTTCAGAGACGGCACAGGGAGGGAGAGGACATTAGGACTTGTTAACAGGGTCCCTGGATGGCTGCTTCTGTGGATGAAGGTCTCTGAGATGTAAAGGAGTTGGTCTGAAGCAAAGACTGTGATGGTGTTTTTTTTTTTTTTTTTTTTTTTGAGGCCACAAGTATTCTGGGCTTGCTTTGAATTTGCTCTGTAGCTGAGAGTGACCTTGAACTTCTGATCCTCTTACTACCACCTTCTGAGTCTGGGATAATAGGCATGTGCCAGCCACCACATCCAGTCTATGCGATGCTGGGGCTTTTGCCTGCCTTTGCTGAGTGCTCTAACAACTGAGCTATAGTTCCAGACTCAGGACCATGACTTGGAAGACACCACCACCACCCTATCAGGTCTGGCCACAAAGGCAGGTAATGCAGGTGCCCTGTCTGTACCAGCAGGAAAGAGCCAGGCATTTATTAGGACAGGGAAGGACACAGCTGTTCTCCGGAGTCCATAACAGTGCCTCCTTGAGCACCTGGCAAACAGCTGCTTACAGTGCAAACTTGTCACTGTCATCTCAGGAGTGGACCAGACAGTTCCCTGTTCTTAGGACAGAAACCAAACCCTCCTGGCTACACTCAGCACCTATAGGCATCACCTTTCCCAGACTGTCTGCCTCTGGCTACCCAGGCCTCTGTTTGTCCCTAAGACATTCCCACCCTTGTCTGGGGCATAGCTCAGTGGTAGAACTTGCCTGACCAGGAAAGATAGAATGCTGCCCATCCGTCCTTTCCAACTTCCTGGCCTGTGCATTAGCTATTACCTGCCTCTCTCCATAGCCTCCTCAGATTTCAGAGAACTCACCCAACTCCCCCCTCCCCTGTTTAAATCAGGACTCTATAGATATTCCCATGATACTCCCCTGTCTGCCATTCCCTGCCTAGCTTCATGACTCTCTTCATCTGCTCTGTGCCTGGGGGCAGGCACCTCTGTGCCTTGTTGCAGGATTCCCTGAGCCTATGTCAGGGTCTTACACAGAGTAGGTGCTCAGTAAACAGGAGCTGAAGGATTCAGCCTTCCAGGCATTCTTCTCAGACCATGGGATGATCGACAGTTAGTCACCAAGTAGCTATGATTGGCAGCCTTCTCCAGAGCTCAAGGCTACACTGAGCTCCTACGTGTGTGGTCCCATCCCAGGTCATGGACAGAGGGCCGATGTCACTACATTGCTAGGACAAGCCCAAGGCTGGTCTCAGGGTTTAGGTGTCCACTGCAGATTAACAGAACTGGGGAGCCAGAGCTCTGAAACCTCTAACCCCACCCTCCCATTTAAAGATGACAAAACAGAGGCCTCAGAGTCACACAACACACCTGAGGAGAGGGAGAAATAGCAGCTAGATTACAGGACATGTTCTAGGCTGTTGGTTTGTTTGTTTTGAGATAAGGGTCTCATTATATATCCCTGGCTAGCCTGGAACTCTCTAGGCAGACCAGGCTGGCCTCAAACTCAGAAATCCACCTGCCTTTACCTCCCGAGTGCTGGGATTACAGATCTACACCACTGCATGGGGCTTCTGGGCTGTTCTTTATCTATGCATTGCACATGGCATGGGCTCTGCTGTGTGGTTAAGAACAAGAAGTAGGGGCTGGGTTGTCCCTTCAGAAGCTCTGGTCAGGTGGCAGAATCACAATAAAAAAAAAAATATTAGCAAAGGTGATTGTTGACCACCTCCTGTGCATCAGGCATTTTAGTAAATTAAAAAGCAATTATTTTACTGTATGAGTGTTTTGCCTGTGTGTGTGTGTGTGTTTGTGTGTGTGTGTGTGTGTATACATGTGGGCACCACGTGCATTGCAGCGCCCACAGAGATCAGAAAAGGGTGTCTGTCCCATGGAACTGGAGTTACAGCCGATTGTCACCCTCAGTGTGGGTACTGGGAATGGAACCTGGGTCTTCTGGAAGAGCAGCCTATTTGTTTGTGTTTGTTTTTGCATCAGGCATTTTCCACACAGTACTGTACATAATCCTGAAAAACAGAGATGCTCCAGTCTCGTACACGTGGATAAGCTGGGGCTCGAAGAGGCTGACTGAAAGAGCTGAACTGGACTTGCATCCCAGAACCGTCAGGTGCGGATAGTGGTGCAGCACGGACAGTAAAAGTTTCCTAGGACTCCTCCAGCCAGAACGCGGAGGCTGGCTGAGCCCGCCCACTGTGGGCGTGGCCAAATGCGGGGCAGGGAGGAGGGGCTGGAAGGCCCCTTCCCTGGCTCCCCAGCTGCAGCGCGTGCCGATAGCGCCACCTACCCATATCCGCGGGAACTACGGGCACGGTTCCATTGGCCGAGCTAGGACCTGTGGGTACCGGAGCAGCGCGTGTGGGAGTGGTGTCACACGAGCTCTGTACTCGGTCACATCCCACACTCCCTCCACTTGGGGGTGCAGTTTTAACACTCGGCAAAGCAGCTCCAAACCGCTGCAGTCGCGTTGTAGATACTGCAGTAAGATTTAAACTTAAGCCTGGTAAGACTTCAGCGTTACACATTTGGAAACTGAGGCCTGAAGAGTGGTCTGTCGTCGGTTACCGTCACTCGTTAGAATGAGTTTGAGACTAGTCATTTTAAATGGATGACTCAACGAGCAAATAGATCGAGGGCAAGCTCTGGGCTGTTGGAGTTTCTTGGCACTAAGGTGTTGCTTGCCTAACGGGTTATTTGGGGGTTGCGGGACCATCAACTCACTGTCGGGGCATATAGTCAGATGAGAGTCCCTTAGGGGGATGTTTTCTCCTCTGATGAGTGGGGCTCCTGACATCTCAGATGGCTGTGAACTTTGCTGGGCCTGGTATACAGTCTGTGTGCAATGTGTGTGCTTTCCCTCCCTGCACCAGGCAGAACTCGGTGCCCCAATTGATAAGAATGAGCTAGCTGCCTGCTTCTGGGCTCAATATATCCCAGCAGGTCCCGGAGTCTCTCTCTTCTAAAAAGAAAGTGCCCTCTGACCTCGCTGTCGAACATCAGAGCTAGAAGGAAGACACAGAATTCTTTTTGTTGACCTAGTGTTGTGTTTCTAGGAAGCTCGAGCTCCAAAAGCAATTAAAGTGTAAGAAGAACTCGGGAATTCTGAGTTTGAGTGATATTAGAACGCATCATGAAGTAGGAGACAGTTAAAGACTTGGTTCAAGCTTCAATCCCTTAGCCACATCTGAGGCAGCTTTCCAAATCCTGTATCTGGAGGCTTGAGCCTGGTGAGGTGATCTGTAATTTCCAGGGTGAAGCCCCAATACCATAGTAACAGTGTGTGAGGCACATAGCTGAGCCCACTTAAGGTCATGCCACCTGTCTGTTTCCTAGAGTGTCCCCTTCCCGCCCACACCCTGATTTCCTTTCAAGTTCTGATTCCTCAAGGTACACCCTGGGGTGTGACATCCACCGGAAGCCCTGACTCCCTCTGGGCATTGATCCATCTCTAAGTCTGTCCAGTCTGGAGAGCAGAGTTCCAGGACACTCTCCAAACCTACAGAGAAACCCTGTCTTGAAAAACAAACAAACAAACAAACAAACAAACAAAATGATTCTCTCTTCCCCCTCATCTCTTGCTCAATAATCTTGCTATGTAGCCCAAGCCAGCATGAAATCACAGCCCTCCAGCCTTAGCTTCTGAAGTGCTGGAATTACAAGCACAGGCCACTATGTCTGGCTCCTGGTGTTTCAAAAGGAGTTACATATATGACTTTTCTGTGAAATATAACTCAGTTATTTTTTTTTAAAGCAGAGGCCAGAAGACAGGTCCTTGCAGGGTTTGGGTTAAGGTTCCCTGTTCTAGTCTGCTTTCTGTGCCTGTGGCCGAACCTCGGACCAAAAGCATCTTGGGAGATAAAGAATGCATGGCTCACAGGTCATGCACGGTCCGTCACAGAGTTGAAGTCAAGGCAGGAACCTGGAGATGAGAACTGAAGTAGAGACCACAGACCAAAAATGTTTACTCCTTCCTTTCTTACACAGCGCAGGTGTCCTGCCTGGGGATGGTAACACTGAGGTGGGCTGGGCTCCCCCCCGCCCCGCATCAATTAGCAGTTAAGAAAATGCACCACAGATGTGCCCACAGACCTATCAGAAGGAGTAATTCCTCAGCTGGGTTCCCTTTTCCGAGGTGTGCCAAGCTAATGCCTATGACACTCCCCAACTGTAACCTCTGATACAGAAAATAATAAAAGAATCAAGAACCACAGAAGCATCCAGTTATGACTTCAAAATATAGATTTATTTATTAAGGATTATTTAATTTCTGCATAAAAATCACCAATTGTTCCTCATTGGGTTTTTTTTTTCCTTTAACACAACATCAGGGTGTGTTACCCTGATACTTTAAAAAATATAGCTCTTCTTATCACCAGAAGGACACTTAAGGCAGCAAGGCAGTTACTTGGGTCTCCAGAGCTGGAGGGCTCCTGTGACAGGCAGTTTCTTAGGTTGGAAAAGCCATCCCTGAAGAAAATAATTGTGCAGTACAATACAAATTCGGTCATGTACGGTCACCTGTGTGTGCCTAGTCAATTGTTTGAAAAGGCTTGCTGGTACATTTCAGCTTAAAAAAAAACAAACAAAAAATAACCTGTCTGACAAAAGACAGAGAGAGAGAGAGAACAGGGCTGGCAATGCCAGATGTGTATGCCATGTGAGGGCTTCTGCCAGCTTGCTTTTTAAACAGAAACCACAGAGTAGGGACCCTGCTGAACCTCTAATCAGACTCCATTGTCCTCCAAACATCTAAGAGATCCTTGGGCCAGACGGACCAGGTTTCGTTGCTGGGTGAGGTGTATGCCCCCCCCCCCCTGAGCTGGGCTCCTCCTGAGCTGGGTAGGGGAGAAAAAGACAGAAAACCCTAGGAATTGATCGTTAGCAACGTTAGTTGGTTTTGACCACACTGGAGGGAAGGTGTGCTCCACCTGGGCTTCTGGGAAAGCGGGAGTGAGTAGGTGTTTATTGCTTCATTAGAATAGGCAAAAAAAAAAAAAAAAAAAAAAAAAAAAAAAAAAAAAAAACAACACAGAAAATGACCTCTAACAAGCTGGGGTTGCCCTCTGCAGACCTAGGCTGGCCTGGCGGCTGAGCTGGGGACCCCAGCTTGATTCACAGTGATTCGGGGTTGCTTGTTCCCACTCGGGGGGCTATGTGTCTGGGCGCCTACACTGTGTAGTCAAGCTCCGCGTTCATCTTGGTGTACAAGTCATAGATGGCGTCGATGGTGGCTGTATAGTTGACCAGGAAGAGGCGGATCTTCTCCAGGCACTCCTCCTCTGTCACATTCTGCCCCTTGGAAAGCGCCTTCAGGAAGTCAGACTTGTAGGGTGCTGCATAGAGTGCTGCCTTGAGAGGAAGAGGGAAGGCAGGAGCAGCATTAGTGGGGCAAGACTAGGCTAGCCCACTGGGCACCCAGGAGCGTGCATCCCTGACACTTGTGCTGGGCGGGTCTATCCGCTCATGTTGGAAAGGAAAAGAAAAGTGCGTGTTCCTTTTCCCCTGTAAGGGACCCTGGTTTATGGAGTGAGGGGGCCACACATGATGAAGATAATAATTGCTTTGGGGCCCTGAACCTAAGTCACGAGCTGCACACTGTGCAGATAACTCCTTCCTTTCCTCAGAGATCTGGAGGTGTGAGAGACGAGGCCATTGAGCTCGGGAAGCATGCTCCCAGGTGCCCACTTTTGTTTCTGAGATGGGAATCTGACTGTGTTGCCCAGGCTGTCTCAGAACGCCGGTGCTCTGCAGTCATCCTGGGAAGAGGTGCAGCTGCCAGCCAGGCCCAGGCTGAGCCATGGGACCTTGAGATCATCACAGGGTGGAGTGTGCAACATCGCCCACTAATGGTGCACTGGCAGGAAGCTGGGTGTTGCACATGGGATACTCAGTCCTGAGGGGTGCTTGTAGGGGCTCTGCAGGGAGAGTGGATGACCCCTTGCTCCAAGCCATGCCCAGGTAGAAGGCCCAGAGGTGGCCACACTTCCTGCCTCATGACCTGTTCTTCCTGCCTGGACCCAGCTTGCCTTGGGACCCTTCCTGTCAGAGCCTGGGCTTCCTGGGGAAGGAAGGATAGTCTAATGAGGGCATCGTGAGGGGCAGGGTAGCCAGGGGCAAATTTGAGAGGCCTTTTGCTATTCCTTAAGCCTCCCAGCCTGATGGACCTAGGGTTTCTCAGATACCCAGGTTGGCACAAAAGCTCTTTCCGGGAACTGTGGTCAGTATCACCCCAATATAGGCCACAGTATCCTGAGGGCCCGAGTGTTTACAGTAGCCATCTCCTTGGGGGCAAGGCCCTTCTTCCCCTCTGTGCCTGGGGTGAGAGCCCAGGGTAAGAGGGAAACCACTGAGGCCAGCCCACCGTCACCCAATAGCTCTTGAGTCTGCAGACCTGACTCTTCTCACGGCCATGGAACCAACAGGCTGAAGGGCCTGCAGGAACACTAAGGAGCACCTACAGCCACATACAAGGTTGGCGGTGGTTGCACGAGGGCCTCTGCACCAGCCCATCCCATTGTCTGGGTGAGCTCTTCCTGGGATAAGCAGGGCAGTGGGCAGGACCCCAAGTCTCCTTGTCCCTGGGACTTACCTTGAAGATTTTCTGCACTAGCCAGCCGTGGTATTTCTTTAGGGCCATCTCATAGGCCTTGTTGGCATTTACGCGGATGAGGTTGGGGTGGTTCTCATCCCGTTCCCCGTCACAGATACTCTGCAGGAACACCTGGATGAAGCGCAGACCCCTGTGGTTCAAGGGGACAGTCATTTAGGACGGTGGCCCATAGCAGTGTATGGGGGAGGACCTCCCCTAGGTGACCTGGGTCAGCTCTGCTTCTGAGCAATGTGATGACCCAACTCTGGTGCCATGTGCCGCTAGAGCCTATTCTGGGTCCTTGTGGCCCCTCATGGTGAAAAGGATGAAGCCAAAATGGCCCTTGGAGGGTTCAAAGGCCAGAGATATGTCAGGCACACTGCCTCCTTGGCTGTTAGCCTCCACTGCACAGTGACCCCTGGCTAAGGGGCTTCATGGGGCTCTGAGTAGAAAGTAAGGTTACCGCCAGCCCTGTGGTGCAGTTTAAGACAACAGGAAAGTTTCCCCAGAGGATCTATGATGAAGGCTTAGGTATTGCTGTGGGAGGTGGGACCTAGCTGGAGGAAGTGAGTCCCTAGTGACTTCCTGTTTCCTGTCAGCCATGAGATGAGTAGCTTCTTCCTCACAGTGCTGTTAGGAGGCTGTCTTGCCTCGCAGTGGGCCTAGAATCAGTAAAGCTGACCCAGGGCTGAGCCCTCAGAGACTGTGGACTAAAAGGAACTCTTCCTCTCCATCTGGCTCATTCTGCCATGGCCACAAGAGTGTAATTCACACGGGCCTGTATCCTACTCCCTTCAAATGCATGGGGCCAAAATGGGCACCGTCAGCCACTCCACAGCCTCCTGCCTTCTCTACCCCTCACACAACCTGGCTAGAACCCAAACAAATGCCTCTGCTCCCTTCCTGCAGGGAGTTGGGGGTGCTCAGGCAAGGGCTTCTGGAGCGGGGAACTGAGAGCAGGGTTCTGCCCCAGCTTGTCCTGGCTGGAAGCTTCTTCATATGACAGGTGCCTGTAATATTCCATCTGTGCTGGGCTCCAGAGCCAGCACCACCTTCCCAGTCACCCACAGGCCTACAGGGGCCTTAGATATGAGGAGCGGCATCACCTGCCTGGGTAAATGGGCTGGGAGATGTCCCTCCGTCTAGGCCTTCGAGGCCTGCAGACAAGGTCGGGCAGTGTGCCTGGGACAGCTTCTAGAGCAGCCATTTCCTGATGACCACCCTCCTCTGGGAAGCTAACTTCCCCAGGTCCAGTTCACCAGAGAAGCAAGTGTTGGGGGCTGGGAGATGGGCTTTAGGTGACAAGCTGTCTTCTAGAGTCCTGGCCCAGACCCCTGAGATGTCAACAGTGGGAAGTGCTGGAGGGCAGGGCAAGGGTCCCTGCTTTCTTAGTGGCTCTGGAATCACACAGCTAGAGAATTCTGGAGCTACTAGACCACTGAAAAGTCTCAAGGCAGGGACACACCTGTGCAAACCCAAGAGCACTCCTACTGTATCTCTATCAAGAGAGTCATAACACAAAAATCCACTGTGCACACATGACACAGCTACCTCTGTGCACACAGCACACCACCTGTCCCACTGCTCAGATGACCTGGATTGTGACTGGGCCTCCAGATGCTCCTACAGCCTCCTCTGTGAGAAGGGGAGGTGCCACAACTGACTCACAGTGTGTGAGACTCTATCAGGTCCATAAAGAACTGAGACGGAGACTAAAGCTGGAAAATGTGCTTCCCCTGCCTTCTCTGGAGCTAGAACAAGGAAGTGCCGCCATGAACCTGTCAGTCATGGGAAGTTTCTTGTAGCTATTAAATGGCAGTGTTGGCATGCTCCGCCCCCCAGCCCATCACCTTTTTAGCCACAGCAGTGCCAGTGTGGCTCCCACTTTGGGCCACTCTGATCCATACATTCCCTTCTCCACTTCCAGGATGTTCTGCAGGGTCCTGTACTTGGCTGGGTCAGTGTCGTACACAGCTTTGATTTTCTGGAATAGAGCACAGATGTTCTCCCATCACAGGTTGCCTTGAAGACAGCTTCTGCACACTGGGCAGAGTGTCCATCCTATAGGCACCACCCACCTGGCCGGGAACCTGGGTCCCTGAAATGCTTCAAGTGCCTCACACAGTCTTTTGGCAACCCTGACACCACTCCCAGAACCCAATCAATGGATTAGGGCACTGAGGCTCGGGGGTAAAAGGACACAGGTTTGGGACAGGGAGTGGGCCCTGGCACACTGCCCGACCTTGTCTGCAGGCCTCGAAGGCCTAGACGGAGGGACATCTCCCAGCCCATTTACCCAGGCAGGTGATGCCGCTCCTCATATCTAAGGCCCCTGTAGGCCTGTGGGTGACTGGGAAGGTGGTGCTGGCTCTGGAGCCCAGCACAGATGGAATATTACAGGCACCTGGCTCCAAAAACCATGTCTTCCCACTGCTATTGACACTGTCACAGACATCAGAGGCCTGAAGTCCCACAGTGAATGGACACAGGCAAAAGGGTTCTCACTGAATCACACCTGTCACTCTCTTGCTGTGTAACCTCAAACTAGTCATCAACCACTCTGAGCTTCAAGCTCCTCATCTGTGTGAAGGTAGTAACTCACACAGAAGGACCAAGCTCAAAGTTCCCTGTGTTGGAGAAGTGAGATCACGAAGCAGCAGATCCCAAATCTGACGCCACCCTCAGTGTGCCTCCCTGCGAAAGCATCCAGCATGGAAGAGCCAAGGTGACGCCACCATGGACTTGCTTTCTTGTTCTTTTCTTGGTGGTGGGATGCCGAATGAGATAACCTAGGCTAGCATGGATCCTCGGGCCTCAGCCTGAGTGCTGGGATTACAGGATTGCCTTCGAGATGATACTTAGCTGGAAAGGTGTGTGTGTGTGTGTGTGTGTGTGTGTGTGTGTGTGTTTGTGAACAAATAGTATGTGTGTGTGACACATGCGTGTATATGGGTGTGTGTATGTATGTGTGTACATGTGAGTACCAATGGAGGTCAGAAGAGGGCACTAGATCTCTGGAAATGGAGTTACAGGCACTCGAAAGTTGCCAGTGTTGGTGCGGGACGAAACTCCAGGCCTCTGAAAGAGCAGCAAGCACCCTTGGCCATTGAGCAATCTCACCAGCCTTACACCTTCCACACAGCCTCTCACTGGCTGGCCTTGATAACCAATAGGGACCCACCTTTCTCCACTCCTCCAGCATTGGGGTAACTCTTGTGTGGCCCAGTGATACTATTTAATCCGTTTAAGTATCCTAACTCAGGCCTGCATGTTTGTAAAACTGAACCATTTCCCCATGTCTGGAGTTCTTGTTTGGTGGAGGGGGTGGCAGAGGGTCTGGCCAATCCTGAATTGTGTGCTTGCAAGGGGCACTGAGAACCTTGGCCCTACAAGGGAGGGGCTAGGACTCCATGTCTCTGCCCTCTTTCTTCCCCAACCTCAGGTGGGAACCAGGCAGGGGTGGGTTCAGACCCTGATGATGTACTTACCGTGATGTTTCCACTTATGTCCGCCTTGATGGGTGTGAACACTGGGGACCCAAGGCAATCTGGGAACACAATGAGAAGAAAGATTTAGATTCCCAACCACGTTGGCATTCAGAACCATCACAGGTCATGGAAGACCACCACCTGTGTGTTTAGGGGCCAGGAAGAAACACTTGTAGGTGTTTGGAAAGTCTTGTGGTCAAGTGAATTCAGGGACTGCTGGGTTCTGGATGAGAGCGGCTTGTCACCCCCAGAACTGGTCAGAGCCTCTGAGGGCTGCTGGAGCTGCTCTCCCCATCATGGTACCATCCAAGAGAACTCTCTACAGTGGTGGAAATGGCCCCCCATCTGCACTGTCCAGCTGGTAACCATGTGAGCTCGGACTTGACCTGTGCCCCCTCACACTGGCAGGGTAGGCTTGGACACTGTCTTTCATCTGAGCTTCAAGTTTCCCATCTTATGACCAGGACAGACACAGACACACATTCTGTTCACCCTGGAGCCACAGTGTTCCCCTGTGGAGGTGGGAACCTTTCTTGGCAGGTTCCAGTAGAATGGGGTGCAGTACAAGCAGTGACAGCTTTGCGCAGATAGCACACAGACCAGGAGACGCCTGGCCATTTGTGCTTGGAACTCCAGGCTCCACATGGGACGTGAATTGCACTCCTCCCCCTTCCCCTCCTCCCCACTGTTTTGCCCCTTGTGGCAGGCCATCACTGCAGCCAGAACATCATACTAGCCAAAGCTGCTTAGAGGAGGGGTGCAGGCCTTCGGCATCACATTCCAGTACTGGCCTCACTCTCGGAACCTGAGCAAAGTGTTCCCGACACCTTCTCCCTGCTGGGAAGTAGGCTTGCTAAGTCTGATGCAGAGTCAAGGGCACAAGGACATCACAGTAGGCCAGAAGTAGGTGCTGAACTCACAGAAAGGAGGCAGACAAGGGCTTAAAGACTTTCCAAATGACGGAGGGGAGAAGAACTTCTGCAGGTCAAATCCCAGTGAAGGTGACCAGCACACACGCCGGCCATCTAGAAAAGTCTTTCACTGCCGACATGAAGAGGTGTGTGCTGAAGCACCTGTGATGACACATCCCAGACACAGTGGGACGATGGATGAGGAACCACATAGGTGGTAGTGAGATCGGCTCAACATCCCTCCATGGGACAAGTCTCCCAGACCACATGTCTGTTTCCTCCCATGGAAGCCAGGACACTGAGCGCTTAGTAGGATTAGCACAGATATCAGGATTCACGATGCACCTACCATGCCTGTGGCCTGCACCTGTAGCCCCCATACTTAGGAGGCAGAGGTGGGAACACCGAGAGTTTGAGGCCAGCCTGGGCTACAAAGCAGAGACTCTGGAAAGAAAACAAGATATCTGGACTCCATATCAGCATAATGGAGGCAGAACCACTGCCTAGCATGTGTGAGGTCCTAGATGTGACCCTCATCATCAAAAAATTAAATTAAGGGCCAGAGAGATGGCTCAGTGGTGACCTTGGTGCCAAGTCTGGTGGCCAGAGTTCAATCTCTGGGACCCACATGGTAGAAGGAGAGAACAAATCTCCACAAGTTGTCCTTTGACCCCTATTCATGTGCTATGACTCACACACACATGCTCACAAAAATAAATGCAAAACGCAATTTAAAAGAAAAATACTTCAGACCTACTTAGCAGGGTCCCCAGCATGGGGCAAAGGCTGGGAAAAGGGCATTGATCATTCTATGACTTCCTAGTTCTAGGGCCAGGCTTCTTGACCTATCAAATCTTCCCGAGCCTCGGCAGAGTGCAAACCCCGCTGCACCCCATGTTTCTCTCTCTTTCTGAGAGACAGTTATGTAGCCCATGGTCCCCCTGCCTCAGCCTCCAAACGCTGGGATGACAGGCATGTGCCCACTGAAGTACCTCATGGAGGGACTTCGCAGGTAGCACTGAACCCATCCCCGTGGCGCCTAGCGGGGCACCCATGAAGTGGGTGAGTGGGCTCTCCTTGCCTCTCACTGACACCAGTGCTCACTCACCAGACATGCATCAAGCTACAGGGATTCTCTTGTCTCCACCCCTCCCCCATACAGATGGCCCAAGTATAGTTTTGTCCCCTTGGGTACCAAGCATCCAAACTCAGCCTCATGATGGCACAGCAGACACTTTATCAATGGCGCCATCCCCCTCCCCCTTTGTCTATACACACACACACACACACACTCGCTCTCTCTCTCTCTTCTAAATTTATTTGACTTTATTTTATGTGCACCAGTGTGAAGGTATCAGATCCCCTAGAACTGGAGTTACAGACAGTTGTAAGCTGCCATGTGAGTGCTGGGAATTGAATCTAGGTCCTTTGGAAGAACAGCCAGTGCTCTTAAACTGCTGGGCCATCTCTCCAGCCCCCTTGTCTGCACTTTTTAGCATATTTCAGATGACCCCCAAGTGTTAGTTTTAAGGAAGCACCCACCCACCCAAGATGGCAGAGGGTCTGTGAAGCAACTTGGGCGTTGGTTTTTCTCTGTGTAAAGTGAGACTAGGACTCCCGTGCAGGGCAGGGCTGCTGTGAGGGAGATAAGGGCTGCATACATAGCAGGTATTAGTTAATCACCAGCCACGGTCTTCAAAGGGTGATGCCCTGGGAAGCTGGGCTGGATGGCAGAGTGTGGGCAGCTGCAGGCTAATGTAGGACATGCCCTGATGGCAGGAGAAAAGGCTTATTGTTTGCCATTCTCCTGACAGTGCTCAATGAGGGTCACAAAGCCGCTGTGGTCAGCGGGCACTGTCCCCACAGCAGCCGTCATTGTGTGTGTGGCTGATGGCTGCTGCCCGGGCCACGGCACCTATTCTGCTGTGGGGGAAGGGTGCAGTGGATGGAGGCAGATAGTGAGGCAGGGACTGCAGGCTCCATGAGGGCCTTTAAGAAAGAGAGTGGGCCTGTCCTGTCATCCTAGCATGCTGGACCCTGATGCAGGAGGGTCATGAGTTCTAGGCTAGGCTTGGACTACAGAGTGAGACCCTGTCCCAGAAAGAAAAAGATGACCCCAGGTGGACGGGCAGGAAAAGCCTGGGGCAGTGTGCCCTGTGCTGTAGGCCAAACAGGCCAGAAGCACCTAGAAGCTGGGCAGCTGTGGTTAGTGGGGAAACTGCCTGCCACTTAGGTGTGAATTATGACTCTGAAATGGCTTTGACAAGTGACAAGTGACTTGGGAACTCTGAGTGTGAACCCTGCAGCCCAGAGGTGCTTGGCAGAGAGAAGAACTCCAAGGACGGTGGGCTGGAGTCCGCTTCCCATGGCTTACATGAGGGCCACAGTAGAGAAGCCAGATGACTCACCCGAGGTGGGTAACAAGGCCAAAGTAACCCATGAACCCACATTAGCTTTCTAGAATGTACCTGTTGGTGTGAGCTCAGAGAGAACAGTGCTGGGGCAGGGCCCCTAAAGCATGGCTTGAATCCCCACGTTCATGGTAGGTAGCCTTTCTAATAATTAAACCTGTGCTGGTCCCTACCCCGTTACCTGTTCCAGAATGCAGCCGGGCAACAAACCACCTTTCTAGTTTGACTAGTTCTGCAGTTCCCTCAAACTGGTTCTGCCTTCTTTAGCTGTAGTCAACCTGCCTGCTGCCTGGAGGGGGAGGGCACCTGGATGGTTTTCCAGTTTGTCCTGTAACCCACAGAAGGAAGGGAGCTGCCTTTGAAAACAGGAAGGCCCACAGTGCCACCACCTCCTGTCACACAACCAGCCTCAACAGGCAGGCTGCACGGGGAGACCTGTGGTTTTTAGAACATGGGTGAAAGGCCTCTTATGCCTAATAAAGGCTTTTTTTCCCCCTCAACCCAGAAGGATAAGAAAAGATCATTAAATCTGATTACAAAACCCAAGAGCTTCTTTTTTTTTTCTCTTTTTTAAAATTAATTATTTTTTACATTCCAATCCAAGAGCTTCTTATAAGAGGGCATCAACAAAGTGGGACAGGAAGCACAGAAAAAAATCAATAAAGGTTGTTTATTATCCCCAATATATAAAGAGTATTTATGGAACAATAAGAAAAAAAGTTCTGCCAGGCATTGGTGGCACACACCTTTAATCCCAGCACTCAGGAGGCAAAGGCAGGTGGATTTCTGTGAGTTTGAGACCAGCCTGGTCTACAAGAGCTAGTTCCAGGACAGCCTCCAAAGCCAGAGAAACCCTGTCTCGAAAAACAAAGGAAAGAAAGAAAGAAAGAAAGAAAGAAAGAAGCTCTTTAGAATGAATAACTCACGGGTGAAATAAAAAGATGCTTCCTCTCAGTAATAAAGAAGAAAAGACAACAAAAATGGAGATGTTTCCATCAACTAAGTAGTTCTATGAATATATCAGCCACTGGCTTCATCATTCTGGATAGCATTTATTAACAGGGGTTGCAGAGATGTCAGCAGCTAACAGCACTTGCTGCCCTTCCAGAGGACCTGAGTTCAGTTCCCAGCACCCCTGTCAGGTGGCTCTCAACCTCCTCTAACTCCAGCATCAGTCGATCTGATTCCTCTGTGGGTACCCTTCTACATATAGCCTATTCAGACACATATACACATAAATTAAAACAAACTCACAAATGGAGCACCAATGCTCATTCCTGTTTCATAGAGCAAGCCATTTGTAGCCTTCTAAATAGGGTCATCATAAAGAATATAAAGGGATGTCCTGGTGATGTCACAGGGTCCCTCAAACCTTCATCGTAGGGCACTATATCTTCTATCTTTTAAAAAGCTCCTCCGGGCTGTTGATGGATTTTTTTTTTCCTGCTTTTCCTGCAGAGTCCAGTAGTTGCAGGGAGAACACAAGCAAAACAGCAAACTGTCAAAACTGCCGCAAAACAGAAGGAAATGGGAACTAGGAGAGGCATTCATGTGTGCCTTCTGGGACAACTGTGCCTGGGCAAGGGCCACCTAGGGCCTCCTGCCTGGGTCTCCACCACTGCCCAGATGCATAGCATTGCCCAGAAAGCAAAACTGTCTGTTCATCAGCCAGCTTGTTACTACATGCCACCCAGAAACACTCATTTCCTCCTTTAGCAGAGCTGAACACAGGTCACTGTACTCAGCCCAGCTG